GCATGCCCTGTTATGCACTGGGCCATGGGTGACCGCCACACCTACACAAGGAGTTATATGACAACACGGGTGGCCATGGCCAACTCAAGGTCACTCAGGTCGATGGGCGCTTCGCCTTAGCTGTTGCAATGTAGTAAGGGTTAACGGGAGAGGCAGTTTCTGTAAGCAGGGCAATAAAGATGAGGCTAGAAACAACACCGGAATGTTTCCTTCCTGCCTTCCTTACAGGATTAGCCCTGTAAAAAGTGGGGGGGAAAAACAAAGTGAGATTTCTTCCAACAACCGGTTCTCCGAACTGCTTAGAAAGTTAACAGTCGGTTCTCCCGAATAGGTGCGAACCGGCTGAATCCCACCCCTGAACTGGACGCAGCATTCCAAGGGTGACCTCACCAGTGCAGTATAAAGCAATACTAACACGCGACGTGACCCTGATGCTTACTATTTCTCTATTGATGCAGTCTAAGACCCTTCTTTTTGGAAGCTGCAGCACAGCGCTGGCTCCTATTTAAGTGGCTGCCCTCCAAGATCCCTCTGGAAGTTACTACTGTTGAGCCAGGTGCCACCTATTCTCCACTTGCACATTCGGTTTTTCTTACTCAAGTGTAAAACCTCCCTTTTCTCAACACTGATTTGCTTTATGGTGGATAGGGCCCAGGGTTCGGTTGACAGAAGTCTGTTTACATCCTTCTGGATTTTGAGCCTATCTTCCAAAATGTTAGCAATTCCCCCTGCAGCTTAGCGTCATCTGCCAATTTGATGAATTCTTCTTCTACCCTCTCATCCAAATAGTTTATGAAAAAGTTGAAGAGTATTGGGTCCAAGACAGAACTTTGGGGTACCCCCCCCCTGTGTGCTTCCCTCCGTATAGGTGTACCTCCATTGAGGACTACACAATCAGTGTGGCTGGTCAGTCAGTTGTGAACCCTACATTTTTCCATCTTACCAAACAGAAGGTTGTGGTCTGCTTTGTCGAATGCCTTACTGAAGTCCGAGTAAATTATGTCCACAGCATTTCACTGGTCCCTTAATTTACTCACTTTATCAAAGAATGAAATAACGTTTATCTGACGTGATCTCTTTTTTAACAACCTATGCTGGTTTTTAGTAATCACCTTGTTTATTTCTAAGTGCTCACAAATCCTCCATTTGATCGTCTTTTCCAGGATTTTCCCAGGTATTGATGTCAATCTGATTGTCCTATAATTTCTCAGATGCATTTCCCCCCCACTTTTTTTCCCCCTAGATTGTTACCACATCAGCTCTTTTCCAGTCCTCTGTAATTCCCCTGTGTTACAGGAGCTTTGAAGAATAATTCAGTGGCTCTGAGATTATGATGTCTGCCAGCTTTTTCAGAACCCTCAGATGGGAACCGTCTGGAGCGGGAGATTTGTGCTCGTCCAAAGGGGATAGATATTTTCTTACTAATTCCTTGCATATTTCGACTCTTACACCTGTCCCATCCTCCTCGGTGCTGTTTTGGTAGGCCGGGCTGTATCTTCCTTTTGCGCAAAAACAGAGGCAAAGAAGGAATTTTTAAAATTTCCTCTGTTATCCTTTTATTCTCCTGTTATTCTGAGATGTGAAAAACCCAGAGTAGGAACAACACAAAGGGAATTGGGCAGTATGTGAGGATGGAAGCTCTGGGAGTTGGGGTGGGGGGGTACACGCTGTACTGCCCTCCTCCTTCCTCCAGGGTTCTTTCCAGTGGGTGTTAATAGGAGGGGAGGGGTCCAGTCCAGGCCCCTCCTTTGTGCTGTGCTTGAGGGCTCCCCTCCCCTCCTTAACCTCTCCACAGGGACAGTGAGGATGGGTGAGGGGTCACCAGGAGGCTGATGAGGCCCAGCTTTACATCTCCAGCCCAGGCTTAACAGAATCGCGGAGTCGGAAGGGACCTTGGAGGTCTTCTAATCCAACCCCCTGCTCAAGCAGGAGACCCTGAGCCATTTCAGATAAATGCTGGTCCTGTCTCTTCTTCAAAGCCTCCAGGAATGGAGCACCTGCAACCTCTGGAGGGAAGCCATTCCACTGATTCCTCGTTCTCCCCGTCAGGAAATCCCTCCTTAGGTCCAGGCTGCTTCTCTCCTTGATGAGCTCCCACCTGTTGCTCCTTGTCCTGCCCTCAGGTGCCTTGGAGAATAGGTGGACCCCCCCCTCCTCTTCTTTGGGGCAGCCCCTCAGATATCGGAAGGCTGCTATCATGTCTCCCCTGGTCCTTCTTTGCACTTAACCGGATGTACCCAATTCCTGCAACCGTTCCTCGCGTGTTTTCGCCTCCAGTCCCCTGTGGCTTCCTAGCGGAGGTCCTAGGCACCCGGTCCCAGCGTCTGGAGGAGGCTGTGGGGGCCTGGATGGGGCACAGCAACTTCGGATCACCCCAAGCAAGTCTGGCCAGCTTTGAACGTTTGGACCTTCCGGTGCCGGGACCTTCCATCTTTGCTCTTGGAGGGGGGGCTCCCAGAGACCCCAGGGTGCCATCTGGGGGGGGGGTGTCCTCCTGGATTCATGGCCCCAGGTGGCGGCTGGGGCTAGGAGGCCCTTTGCAGAGCCTGTGCACCAGCCGCGCCCATTCCTGGACTGGGAGGCCCTGCTCACTGTCACCCGTGACCCTCTGACTTCTTGCCATGTGCTGAGCATGGGATTGCCCGTGAAGAGCATCCGGTAGCTGCATGGAGAGTAAACGGTGCCAGCCGTTGAGTCCTTCATGAGCTGCAATGGCCCCTGGGGAGCTTCCAGGTGCTGCCACCCCTTTAAAGCCCTTCACGGCTTGGGAGGGGGCTGCCTGAGGGACCCTCACCACCGCTGCTCATTATCCCACCGATTCTGCCCTCCACGATGCCGAAGAAGGCCGGCCGTGGCTGTCAAGGGCCAGAGACCCCAGGCAGGCTCTTCCGCCTCCTTCACGTTGGAAGGACAGGCAAGGGTCAAATTGCAACCACGATTTCTGTTGCTAAGTGAAACAGTTGTTAAGAGAGTTTTGCCCCATTTTATAACCTTTCTTGCCATAACTGTTAAGCGAACCACTGCAGTTATTAAAGACATAACAGGGTTGTTAAGTGAATCTGGCTTTCCCATTGACTCTGCCTGTCAAAAGGTCACAATGAAGGGATCGGCTGACCCAGACACTGTGGCCGTCATAAATATGAACCAGTTGCCCAGCATCCTAGCTTTGATCACATGACCATGGGGGGGGGGGTCCTGCAGCAGTCATAAGTGTGAAAAATGGTCACAGGTCAGTGACGTAACTTTGAACCGTCACTGAAGTGTTGTAAGTTGAGGAACAGCCGCATGTGGAAAACAGCAGAACAGCTGAAGCACTTTTTCCCCATAGATACGGCCAGGGAATCCCAAGGGAATTTGGACTGGACACCCTCACCATCCAAGGGGGAAAATACCCTGTTTCCCTAAAAATAAGACAGGGTCTTATTTACTTTTGACCCCTGAAATAAACGCTTGGCTTTATTTTCGGATTATTTTTGAGGTGCAGGAGGTGTTGGTCACCTCAGGGCTGATGCTGCTGTGTGGCAATATTTTCGGGGAGGGCTTGTTTTAGCGCATGCGAAAAGAAGGTCTTATTTTTGGGGAAACGGGGTAGAGAAAACAGAAGGAACCCAGATGCCCTGTGGGAAAAGATATCAAGAGCCTGGGGGACGATGCCCACTACAAACACCTGGGCACCCGCCAGCACCCGGAGGAGGCCAAGGAGGAGGCCAGAAGTGAAGGCACCATAATAAGAGCGGAGAAGAGCCTCAGATGCAAACCCCGTGGAGGAAATGCCACCCTGGCCCTGAACACCGGGGCCCTCCCAGCCCTCAGCCCTGCAGATGGAGGAGTGGACTGGGCTGAAGCAGAACTAGAGCAGCAGAGAAATAATGACGGTGAGTCATACCCTTCATCCTCGCAACGACATTGACAGCCTCTTCCTACCAAGGAAATCAGGTGGGTGTGGAATGCAACCATCGCACCAGCAGCTGAAAAGGGGGGAAAGGCAGGAGGATACCTGAAGGACACCGGAGGCCCTGCAGCCGTCCGCCACAAGGCCCTGCTGAAGCCCAGGGAGGCCAAAGTGCCCGATCAGAAAGACCAGGGGAACAAAAGGCCGGGAGAGGCGAAGGCTTACAAGGCCAG